GTAATGCAAATCTTCGAGATAAAAAGAAGCCCAAAATTCCACGCATCAGCTCAGGGAGGCCCCAGGCACAACAAAGGGCAAACAAACTTGCATGCCCGCTTGTGAAAGTATAAAATGTCTATTCATGTTTGTCTTGAGGGTTTAGGATTTAGGGTTTAGGATTTAGGGATTTGGATATAATGCTTTGGATTTAGGGTTTAGGATGTAGTGTTTAGGATTTAGTCTTTAGGATTTAGGGTTTAGGATTTAGGGTTTAGGATTTAGGGTTTTGGATCTATGGTTTTGGACTTAGGGTTCAGGATTTGTGATATAACCCGAGCACTAGAACAATGAGAGGGACACAGTTAAAGCACGTTTTTTGGTAGAATCAGGCTCCAAAGACTAGTTTCAATTAGGTGGAATCTCGTATGAAGAAAAGGGACTACATTTAAAGAAATTGTCTGGGGAACCCGTCCTGATAGTAGATTTAAGCAAGTAGTTTGAATTACAGGTACTTCAAAAAATAGAGGTCCAATAGCCCCAATGACCGAAGAATGAGTTTCTTTTAGTCCGGCGCCCCTCATTCCTTGTTCTGGCTTGGGTGTGGGGTCCCCCCAATCTGTTCTAGTGCTCGCATTAGGGCATCGGGCCTAGGATTTAGGGTTCAGGGTCTAGGGTTTAGGATTTGGGTTTACGGTCTAGTGTTGGTTGGTCTAATATAGAGGCCTTAAGAATTACCAATGTCATGTTGAGGTATCCCATACCGTTATATACCTGAATGATACAAGGTACCTAGGAACATAATTGAATGTAGGTCTTCGGGTTAAGGGTGCAGCTGGGGCTTTGGGTTGCGGAGTTGGTTGGAGACAGACGAAGGTGGCCTGAGCCTCTCCATTAATATGAGCTGTAGTCTAAACTCCTTAAAGGGGAGTTATATCAGAAAGTTTGCCCCAAAAGCACAGATGCGCACACACACACATAGATATATATATATATACATATGTATATGTATTCCTGTACATATGTATATATATATATGTAGAAACAAATACACATATTGGTATACATGTATAAAAACATCCCAAGTTTGTGCTTGCGACATACAGAAGGGAGATTATTGGACAGCATGAGGGTCCACTGCTAGAGGCAGAATATTGCAGTAATGATGACGTCCCGTATGCCTCCAGCTTCACTCTAAAGCACGAGCCCTAAGTGCGCGCTCCAAATTTTGTGATTCCTGCGTACTTTTGCATCCCTAATATGAACGCCCTCCAACCCTCCCATTATTTGATACTGGGGGTTGGGGGGTTAAGTGTTAGGGAGAGGTTATTACCCTACATTTCACCTTTAGGGCCATTGCAATGCCCAACACTTATCACTTGGTGGAATTACTTTGCTGTTCTACCTGTTCATTTCAAACCTAGCTCTAAATCAAACTTGCCTCTTGTGATGAGTTCATTGACCTACTTATTTGGGGTTTGGGGCCTAGGGCGTGATGTGGGACAAGCCCAAAATGCCATTCGAACACTTTGATGGAGGACATCCTGCAGCACTCAGGGTCCCTAAGCATTTTAATTTCCACCTAAGCCCCAAACCCTATTTTGGGTGGTGCGAGATTTCTTCCAGCAACAGTAGACGAAGGCGAAAGGGACAGTCCGCAACGAGATTCCGTCGAAATCCAGCTAGCGGCCCAGACTTTGGAGGTTATAAAATGGGGGGTTATATGGGGTCTGTACAGATTTTCCTAATTTCAGTACAATACGGGTCCATATAGTGGGGTTTCCTATCAAACCCTAAACCCCCAAACCCTAAACCCTAAAACGGGTCCCTAATAAATTCTTCTAGTTGGGGAACAGTGATTCAAGCCAAGTCTCCTATGGGGGTATATACGGGTTATGTAGGGTATAGGGGTTTAGGGTCTCGGGTTTAGGAGTTTAGGGCTGAGTGCTTTTCATCATGGTTTTTGGTGAGCGTATGTAGGGTTTTTTTATAGGAATATTGGTGAGTGTATATATCTGGTGTCGAATTTGGGGGTCTTAAAAAACCATGAGTCATATCGAGGTCTCGGATTTCGAGTTTGGGGTTTCGGGCGCTGGCTTAGCGTGAAGAATCCTGGGCCAGGGACGTGAGATTCAGGAGTTTAGGGTTTAGGGGTTAGAGTTTAGGGACACGGATACCCGCTGTAATGTCACAACCTTACTTGAAACACTGTGCCACTATCCAACTTATCATAAGACTTTCAATCCGACTCTCACTCCTCTAGCAGCACAGGCGTGTCCCTGTAATCCATTGCTTGCTCCCAAACCTCTAAGCTCGAATTTCTATATGAGAGGGCAAAACCGTGAACCGCGGACCCTGCGTCCTAAACCTTTCACCCAAATTCCTAACTTTGAACCCTAGCCCTAAGTCCCAAGCTCTAAGCCAGAAACCATAGCCTGACCACCAGAATCCTAAGCTTCAGGGTCATGACATGAGGTGGCGGTACTTGGAGGTCCATTGTACTTATAACCTACATAGTAACTGTAGTTATAACCTAAAT